TATTCTAGTGCTGTCCTCTGTCCTCAGTCAATTTATGTTAAGATGTAATGGGTTCGCCTCCTTCTTCTCATAATTTCTACTGATTTTTTCAACATTTCTTCTAAATAAATAAAGTTTATATCAACAATAACTCGTATTAAAAATGTACCTAAAACACTTCTTATTCCGATTTTATATGGTGAAGGTTTCGATCTTATTCCACCACAAAGGTTTCCCATTTATATTGATTAAATTTCTTCCTTCTCTTCTATTACATTAAACTATAATAAAATAAAAGCTTTTATTGGAACATCACTTCAATTTTGCTAACATTTATTCTAGTTACATAGAAAAATAAAAGCATTTTAGAAGATATCGTTGTCTACTATTATCCATTTCAAAAAAGAACACGCGTGGATATTTTTTGAATAACTTTTTATGGAAATAAGATATAGAGCTGCGGTTTTCACCGTTGGAAAGCCGCTGTGTCACTGCATAGTTCCTTATAATATTCAATAATTTCAGTTCATAATCGAATGGTTAGTCAGTGTTCTTCAGAAAAACACTGAGAGCCCTATGGTAGTCGCATCATATTTTAATTGTAAGGAGTGCGCTAGATCCGCCTGCTCACGCGCTACAAACCTACGCAAGCGCCACATTTCCATCTTGTTTCCTTCAAAAGTTATACGCGTTGAAACCATCGTGAAAATCGCTTAATTAATCTTAAACTCTGAGGACATTGTTTGAGGAAATGTGTTTGGTATAGTTGCAAATGCAAAAACCCTTTTTCGTTTTGTACTCTACGTTTATTTCTTACAGTGTAGTTTTTTTTATCAGCTTTTTTTTGTCACATCAGTTTCGGTTAATAAATCGCTATCGGAACAAAGCAAAACACTAGTAGATACTGATCCATTTATTAGACCATACTGGATTTTCCTAAAATGCTAGATTGATACACACATATATCCAAACGGTTTGATGACCCAAACGGCTATCCAGTTTACTGGTACTGGCGCATACCTAGAAGCGGTAGGTAAGTGTATAAACATACTTTTTATAGGTTTTCGAACATGTTCTTTCCAATGGTGAGATTTTCGAAATCCAAAAATAGTTTTGCCTGGGTTTTCTGACGACCGGATCTCTAGAAAGCCCAGAAAAAATTATTTTTGGATTTCGAAAATCGCACCATTTGAAAGAACATATTCGGAAACCTATAAAAAGTGTGCTTATACACTTACCTACCCCTTCTACAGCATATGTTCACGTGCATAATGAGCTGTGGTAGTGCTCCTACGCTACTATTCAGTGTGATCTAAAACTTTTCTGTAGAAAAATGTTTTGAATTATATACCATTCGATGCAGTTTTTCACGCTAATTTCGAATCTGTCCTTAGTTTCTGATTCAGGTGCTCCAAACCGAAGAAACTTCTAAAAACCTCTGAAAAACCAAAGTTTTTGGAAAATGTACTTAGTATTTGCTTAAGCTTTTTTCTGCACTTCGTGCACGCGACAATGTCAAAAAATACTATATAAACGAGGAATACCCAACACATAAGAACGGACTAAATTTCTAAATTTCTTGATTTAGAAACTTTCAAGTATTTTAAACTCTAAAGACAACGAAGCAAAAGTGAGGACTTTTTGAATACTTTGAAGTGCGGTCATGGAGTTGAAAGTTTGTTCAAATCAAAAATAGCATTGACAAATATAAGATTCAAAATTCATCTCAACGTGACCAAAAACTGGTATATTTTTGCCAGCTGAATCCGATTCAGTACAGGAGTCGTTTCTTATCACAATAAAAAGTCCGAGCTCAAAAAGTGCTATTTTGGCTTCGTTATACGACGTTTTTCAGGAGCTCCAAAAACTACAGATTCAATTAGCTGAATTTTTTCGAAAGTCTCAAAAAGGAGAAAGTCGACGCAAGTCTCAAATTTTTATACAGCATTTGTTCACTTATAATACTGGTTGATAGCATTATTTACGTGACTTTTTTTCTTCATCATACGAAAAACACCAGGAAGTAGTAGAGTACCGAAAATTAATCCGGCCAATGTACCACCAACGATAGCAAGTGCTTGTGATCGACTGGAATAGTTGATTTGTTCATATATTTCTTCGCGTTCTATGATCGTTGTCATATTATTAATTAATTCAATTCGATTGCCAGTCACATTCGAATCAAATGGATAAAAATGGTCGACATTTTCAAGTGAATAAGGTACAGCTTCGATAGAATATTCATCATCGGTTATAAATTGAAATTTACCTTCATTAATACCATGGTCTAATTTCATTTGAGCATCGACTAGCCAAAATTCGGACGTTTCATCAACATACGGTGTCCGATCGAGAAGAGTAAAAATACAATAAAGTGTATCGTTATGATCTAACTCTTGTGAATGATGCTCGAGCTCGACTTGTGAGAGATACGTAAATATTTAATTTTTATTAGAAGAATAATTTG